TTTTGACTATCACTTATGGCCTAATTACACACAGAGCGAATAATGACACATCCTCCTAAATTAATGAAGTAATACTTTATCTCTAAAATTAAGACCGTACAACTATAATTTCCAATGTTATATAAAGATGTAAAGCATCAATAGAAAGCGAAGTATTTGCTGTCTTCAAGTGTTATCGACCTTTTTCATAAATGTCCTCAGTATAGTTCATTGTTTTACAATATTTCTTTACATCATCGTGTTTTTCGTAGCATTTGGATTTTGTAATAGATTACTATGCATATCCTTTGATTTATATAATAGTTTGCTATGTGCTTTATAGATTCCGTGTTGCTTAATAGAATATAACTTAGTTTAGAGCAGGTTTAATGCATGGATTTCATATTTAACCTTTTACTTCTGTTAACTACTTGTATCATCAGGTTTTATATATTTTTCATCTGATAATAATTAAATAGTCCTTGACATGAAATTGCAGGTCACATGTTGAAAAAAGATCTTAGCAAATTGCTAGAATAAACTTACTTTGTTCCTTTTCTCTATCCATAATGGCCCCTATATCTTTGTCACTTTTTCTTCATGTGGTCTAGAGGCTAGAGCGTCCGCCGAGGATCCGGGAGGGTTCGATCCCTGACCGAGTTATACCAAAGATTTAAAAAGTGGTACTAACAGCTGCCTCGCTTTGAACACAGCATTAAGACGGTAGTGTTAGGACTGGTCGGCCTTGTATCAGGATAATGTGACTCGGTGGGACATAATGCGACATGTCTGTGGCATGATGCACATGTGCTAGACATCACCATAAACTGCCACAATGCAGACATCTTAGCAATATGACTGAAAAATTGTTAAACCTACGTTAAAAATCCAAATCACAGACACACACACACTTTTTCGTCCAACATTCGATATTGCATATGTTAATGTCCATTCAATTAATAAGTTCGTAGTATGTATATAAATACAAAAATACTAATATTTTACAAAGATAAAAAACTATCATTAAAATCTTATGATTAATTTGTTTAAGGTATTTATATAACAAGCTCAATTAAATATTTTACACTTGACGTTAGTTCAAAACAATAAAAAGCTTTTAAAATGAAACATTGTCATGGCAGAAATTTACAAAAATATTTATTCATGTCTAAATGTTCAGTTCCAAACATGTTTATTGCAGACGAAAATTTATGACGGCAGGTTTAGTAATACAATCCTTTAGATTCCATATTGTGATCTCTACACATCAGATTTAATTTAATGATTAATCTCAAACTTGAAAAAAAATCTGAAATCGCGCAATATACTGAGAGCGATACAAGAAATACAGAGAAAACATACATTGCACAGTCGGTAAACATACGTATCCATCAATGAAAGCATTTTCCTATGAAGGATGCGTATCAATAGGGACTACTAAAGAGCAAAAACGTCTGTTTTTATAAACAGGAAATGAGTAACTGTACAAAAGCAATGCCGAACATATTGCAAAGGCAAAACATTATTTGTCTAGGATTTGTATTTTATCTATTAAACCTATTGTCTTGTTGCTGAATTATCTCACTCGATCTGTAATTTATGTATCATCAAGCTTTATTTATTATTTTTATAGTTTAGATAGCTTTGTGTTTGCTTTGAAAATGTTATATTGTAATTCTGAAACTGCTTTTGGTTAATTTATATTCTTTTGCTTTTTGTCGTTATCTGTTCTAATTTATAATTGGACGGGACGCCTAAGTGCATAGTCTTATTGCATAACATCCTACTTCGAAAGGAGAATAGCTAAATGTTTACTCTCGGTGATCACGAAGAACACCCTGTCACTGACAGTTACAATATGGGTACTATATTTTCACCTGCATTAGTTTTTTTTAGTAGTTCTTTTATAGCAATGTGATTTATTCGGAATTACAGACAACAATAATGGAATAAGTGTTATACATTAACTAAAAAGAAGGAATTTGCAGGAAATTGTTTTGAACAGTGTAAAAGTATTTTAATTAGTATTGACTTCATAAATTTTTTAACTCTCCGCATCTTATGAGGCGTTGAAACATCCATTATTTAATATACAAAACGACAGTTCTTTGGTAGTGCACAGTTCGTTTATATTTATGAATAAGCTTCCTGTACGTTTATATATTATATTGTATCGTATCTTACATATTTACTAGTTCTTGTCAGTTTAATTTAATGAATAAACTTGTAAAAATAATTAAGCCGTCTGTCTTCATTTATGTTTCAAAAACGTTTATGTTTGACTCTTTGCTTTCCGTTCAAACTTCATGTTGACTATGGAAAGTATTCCTGCAGCCCTTCTATTTTGATGAATTTTATTCATATTGTTCTCTCTCTCCCTCTCTCTCTCTCTCTCTCTCTCTCTCTCTCTCTCTCTCTCTCTCTCTCTCTCTCTCTGTCTATCTATCTATCTCTCTCTCTCTCTCTCTCTCTCTCTCTCTCTCTCTCTCTCTCTCTATATATATATATATATATATATATATATATATATATATATATATATATATATATATATATATATATATATATATATATATATATTGAAATCTTCAGGTATAATCAAATGTTTGACTTTATTAGTTGTTTTGATACAAGATTACATTATATCAATTTCTTACCAAGTAGGGATGGAACGCGAACCACAATGTTTGGCACATATTTGTGTTTTATTTATTGAGCATAGACTATATTTCTTTTAATTTTCTTTTGGGCTGTCTTTAATAGCTTTATAATAAAGTATATATTGTTCTATGAAATTTATTGCTTTGTATAATAGAAATTTAAAGGATAATTAGAAGGTTATGAACACTGTTCTTTCAGACTTTTCACTACAGAATGCTCTAAGTGTTAGACTAATTCAATAAGAATGAATAACAATTGCTAAGGATCCTCAATACAGTATGAAGCAAACCGTTGAAGTCCTGGTCTCCTTGGCATAAACTGTGAGGTATCTTGTAGCAAAATTAAGTGATATACTTAAAAAATTTAGATACTTTTTGTTTTCATGATATAGTTTTTGAGACAAAGACATACTATTAGCATGTATTTGTTTCTCAGTTCTGTGTAACAGTTGCGTAACTATATCTACCAAAAAAATAAGTTCCCAAACTTTACAATAAGTTACGGACAGCAACCTGTATTTTGTTAAATTAATAAATATTTTCTTACAAAATTGAGAGACTTATTTTCATTAATACATTTAAGATTCGGATTGATACAGAGAATAGTGACAGAGAGAACTGATGACGGCATGTACTATAGAAACGTGAAAGACCGGTCCAGCATACCTCAGGGCAAAACAATTAACCAGTAGATTTCAATGATTATGACTTTTGCTTATGATGAATAATATATGAAAAGTATCGTTTTCATTCAGATGAAGTAGTTGGAATTTTTTTTATTACAGGGGGAAGAACGGATTTCTGGAGGTCATATTCATGCTCATCATACCACTCAGTTCCCGAGGAAATACATTGAGAAATTGAATTTATTCAATCCAATTTTTCCCTAAATTACATAATATTGAGAGTTTTGTTATATTATTTTGCACACAAGTAACATATAAATTGCACTGCATGCTAAATCCACGTGAAAGGCAAATTTTGAAATTCTCATTCATTTCCTTTGCTGGATTCGATATTATAACTATCGAAAATAGACGACGTAGCGTTTTCCTTCTATGTGAATACGTGTAGTTGCGCATATACACCTTCGCTGAAAATAGACTTGGCCAGGAACTGGAAAGGACTGGCGAGCAGGATCGTCTTTTGCACCGAAAACTTCCATTTGGAAACACGAAGACTATAATAGCGTTAGCAACCCCCGCCTCCGAAGAATAATCATAATTTTTATGTCATTTGTGCTTTTCGTTTATAAATCGGTACTGTGGTATAACGGGGGAGGGGTATTTCTAGACTATAGTGCGTATCATCAAGCCCTAGGGATTATAAAATACAATCATCTTTGTCTTCTTTATCATGCTTGTTATGAAATTAGAGATTTGTTGATTTATTATAACAGGTACACCAAATGGCTTGTAAAATAACCCATACAAAATTTACAATTCTTGAAAAGACAACTCCTATTTTCAAATATAAATCGTTAACTTTGAGTCAAAGCATCAAAATTATTTTTGGTTAATTCTAATGTAAGTACTCGTTCTACGGCATGTCGGGACAAATGGAGAGATACATTGAATAATCTCGCATAATATATACATCTTGATAGGTTGTCACCATCATTAACACCAGTTATTATGTAAAATTTACAGACAATGAAAGCATAAATGATGATCACATGCCAAATCATTTTAATACAAACAGCCTTTCTTCATACAATCATTCATTGATAACGACCTCTTAAGTGGAAACATAACCCAAAGTGTGAATTATATTGACAATTCCTAGCAAAATGATTCTTAGAGTACGTTTATATCAAGATAGCTCAGATAGCTTGCTTAACGTTACAATCAAGCTGTTTAAACTTACATTCCTCATATTCGTTACAGTGGGTAATTCTCAGATAATGCAACTACCAACAGAAGTTTAAATAAGATGGTTTTCTTAATTTAAACTTGGTTTTGAAAGAATGTACCAAAGGTATTGCATACAATGTGAATTTGGAACTGTGTAAGCAAACCGATAATTCTACACAGTATTTTTTCGTATACACTAGTGAACGCGTCAACGTAGGACACATGAGTACTATATTTATAGAAAAGCCCCTATGTTTATGAGACAAAGTGATGCGATTATGATTGTTTAACGCAGCTTTAACAATTTTTCAGCCATATTGCTACGATGTCTGCCTTGTGGCAGTTTATAGTGATGTGTAGCACTGGGGTATCATGCCGCAGACATGTAGAATTATGTCCCACCCACTCACATTATTCTAACACCAGGCCGATCAGTATTAACACTAAACTCTTAAAGCTGAGCGTCAAGAGAGGCAGCTGCTAGTACTATTTTTGTAAGTCTTTGGTATGACTTGACCAGGGATCGCAACCATGACCTTCCGCATCAGAGGCAGACGCTCTAAACACTAGGCCACCAGAGCAGTTATTAGACAAAGAAACGCACTCGGTATCAATTGCATAATTCAGATAGTTTTAGCCCATTCAAAGTGTCTGAGGCATTTAGTTAGTTGGCTCATCCACTGTTTCAAGATTCCACAGATACCTGGCAGTCAAGACCTTTTCTATGCCACTGCTTCTTTGACTTACGTAGTTAGAGCGTCCACCTAAAATATTGTATATAGCAGGTTCAAATCCCGACTGATTCATGACAAAGATTTATAAAAATGGTACTAACAGCTTCCTCGCTAAGCGCTCAGCATTAAGATCGAGGCAGCTGCAAGTTCCATTTTTTTTAAAGTCTTTGGTACGACTCGGCCGGGTTGGAATCCGCGACCTCCCGCATCCGAGACGTACGCTCTAACCTCTAGTACACAGTAGCTCTGCTCATGATCTTCGATGTATCATCGAACCAGCCTTTATACAAACACACACACACACTCATACACACAAACTTACAAATATATATATATATATATATATATATATATATATATATATATATATATATATATATATATATATATATATATATATATATATACTACGATATCTGATTTTGCAAGAAATTTAGTAAATCTGTATGACGTTCGATTGACTGGTTGATAAAGACTCAGTGCTGTAAAAATATACAACATCAATCTGAACTGCCTTTAATAATATAAGTATATTATATTTATGTTGCACACCATGCACACTTGATAAAAAAGGGCCGCTAGCAGTGCTTACATCAACTTGATGACTAATAGTGCCATGAATTATGTAAAAAAAAATATGTTTCTATTTACTTGTATGTAAGTACTTAACTTTTCACAAATAAATACACATGTATCTATTCACCTCGGCAGTAACTGTCAGTGCTCCCTCAAGTAATAACAAGGAGTTATAGTTAGATACGTCACAAGCTGCAACACAGGAACGATAGTCAATGGACTGTTGCACAGATATAAAAAGCAACCAAATAAATAGTTGTTTTAACACATAGTTTCACGAAAACAAATATAACGTTTGTAGTAAAATTTTAATAAAAATTGTTTGAATGGAATTTGATTAAGTTTCATGATTAAATACGACACATTTTTTAAACTAAGTTGTTTTTTTTTCTGAATATTGATGCGTATTTTCGTACACGATCGCAAGATTACATTTTTTGATAAAATTATGTATACAGGACACTACTAAAACCCACTAGAATGTACAAATACTTGAAACAGAATATAACTCTTCCTCATTGTAGAAAATAAACACTTCGGTCTAGATGGATAAAACTGTAGGAAGCATTGGGTGTTCGAGAAGATTGAATTGTTTATGTTATATCAGGGTAGTTAATACACCTTAGTAAAATATCAAGTCCAACAGAGTTAACCCCCATAAAAGCTGGGGACTAGTTATTATCACCGTTTCTTATCCTAGACTGTTTCGTAGATGACACATTGGTCGGGTTGATGATAAGATGGCATGCGTACGATCTATCAAGATACTAACATTATATGTATAATTGTAAATAGTAAACTACTGTTGCATATATTAAAAAGTTATGTAAAAGATTATTTTCGCAGACTAGAGGTATTAAGATGTCGTTGCATATGTTCTCTAAATTGACAGGGTTGTCATATGTCTCATTAGATTTAGTTTTATAGGTTTCTATATAACTTACATGGAGCTGATCATGCTAGACACGTATTCTTCTCTGAAACATTTGAAATATTCGTATTTTATGTCTAGCCCAGAAAAGCATTTTGTACGTAGACAGACTAAAGGCCAGAAAATGAACAAGTGTAGCGAACTGAATTGATTATTCCTTTAAAACTATAAGCTTTATTATAGACAGCTTTAGTGCTATCTACTATCGGTTGATATAAAAACGTAGCTTATACAGTATATAATATGTAGTAAAATAGTAGCAAACAGATTACAACAGATTTGTAATACTTTCGAAGAAACTGTCGATGTGGCAGAATTTTGGAAGCCGACGAAAAGCAAAACTCTGTACATTATACAGCGAATTTTACTAATTGTTTAATGACAGCAATGGAAACACTGCACTACACAGGCTGTATCAACTTATGTTGAATAAAGTTGGATTTTGGTTAGAAAAGGAAATGATTTGATCTTATGAATTGATTCTAATTGTTCAATTAATTATGAAATGCATCCTGCCCTCTCACCCCTGAAAGAAGCAAACACTAAACAAAAGGTAAGACAATGTTCAGATTTGCGCTTTTTAGTTCGGACGTCAGTGATCTAAAATATACCGCTCAATTCGTATCCATTTTTTTATTTCTAGCAAAGAAAATATTTTTCAAACTGCGTTTATAAGACAATTTCAACCTTGCAAAAACGTACGTGAATACATGCAAGATAGCAATCAGCAATAGCAATAGAAATCATCGATTTGCAAAAACGCTTATCTAAATATGTTAGGCATTACCTGACAACATTGAACAATTGTATCATTATATAGTAAACTCCCATTGAGATATTTAGTCTAATTATCCAAAAAGCAACAAGTACGATGTACTTAAAGAATTTTTTTTAAAAATATTAATTTATAATATTGAGCTTAATTATCAAGCCATTGATAAAGCCATCATATTCTTGGCTTGAGAAATATATAATGAACATTAAATAAATGTTCAAAGTCTTCTCATCATACTGTCAAACAATGCGATATTCCTTGTGTTGATTATCTACATTTATAATCTGAATTGGGTTGCCTTTGCTTGGAGTTTCGTGGCCTAGCAACTTAATTAAGTTATGTTGTGACACGAAAATTAAAATAAAAAGCCTTGATCAAGGACACAACTTAGTAGCAAACCATGATTTATAGAGAATCTGACGTAAGTCGTGGCAATCTGTACGAATTGTTCTGTATAAAAGTAACTACAATGCGATATAAAATATAAAACGAATCCCATATTCAATACCTTTCCGACTGCATAATTAAAACGTGAACACCATCATGTATATATGTGTATACAAAGTAACTTATTTATTTATATTGCATTTATAATGCAAGGAAAATGAGTTTGAGATGGATATTGGTACTTATTTTGCATTAGCCTTTCAAAACATCATGTTGAAATATGCAGTTTTGATTACATTACCTTGAAAAAACGAAGGTAAAAGTACATTTGCAAACCAGTTTGCGATGCAAAGTGGAATTACTTCATCAAGCCATAATATATGATTTATTTAAATCGGTCTTTACAGATAAGACGCAAACTAGTTTATTTAAAAATAGGTTAAAGTTTGTTTCTTGTAAATTTTCTCCGTATTTCTATGACGTTCAGTAATTCACTAAAATATTTTTTTTTCATATTTATTCGTTTTCTTTTTTAAAAAAAACGAACGTAACAAATAGACGGTAGAACTATTTTCAATGGCAATAAAGAATATCCTTGCCGTTCCGTTCAAGAAAACGTAATAATATTAAAATGTTGCTGGAACAAAATCATTAAGAAGAGGAGGCAAATAATTATATACTTAATTACAATATGCATGAGGAATTCATTTAGAAGGAATTGCTAAACAGTAGAAGGAAATATTTTGATTATGTCGTTAGAATTTTCGTTACAAACAGCCTTTTTCATCACAATAAAAAAGAGGTTGCATCCTTAATCATGTCTCCTGTATCATGTAATGTTTACGGGTTCATCATTTATCACAGTCCCTTTCTCGGTTATGGTTCAGGATTTGTTGATTGTAACAAATATAGTTTGAAATGTACAGTTTTCATTTTTCATTTTTCATTCGCTCTGCATGCAACCATGGTTTTTTCTGCGTTTACTTTATATATGCTTGAAACTCCGTGTATTATATAGTTTACGTCACGATGGGAAATTTTATAAATTGTGTATCTTTCGTACAAATTATTGAACAGTAACAGTGCAATGAATTATGTTACGAGTATTATCACAACCAAAGTTGACTATATCAGACATATTATATAAGACTCGATAAATGACGCCAGAATATCGTGGGTTAAATGAACTGTAACAAAATCACTTAAACGTTCTAAATTTAAAATATTCGACAGATAAAGTTGCACCATTTCTTCATTCTGTTAGGCATACAAGGTATTGGTTAATACTTATGTACTACAGTCACATATGATCCCTCAATGGTTAGAAAAACAAACTTTCCCCTTGTCGAATATATTGTTTTCAATACATATACATGAGTTTAAGAATTTAAGAAAAAAAAACCTATTACAAGTGATGCATTTAAACTCTTACTATGAAACAAAAATGCGTAGAGGAAGCGTTCGATGACCAGCGACTTGATTGTAGAGTTACTTGTACTTTATCAACCTTTAATCATCCACTAATTTGACGGATGTGTGCTTACGTCAATATGATGTAAATCAGTAAAATATATAAAAGACACTTATACCAAAACAGAGTTTAAGATAATAATAGACGACTTTGACGAGGGTGGGATGTTGGAAATTTAGTTGTCTCATGATATTAACATGAAGTTGCATGTATTTGATACAGTGTGTGTCAGTAACGTAAAAAATCCCCCAAACCAACACATGAAATTACAATGTCATTTTGAAAAGAACGCATGTTGGAGATCTAAATTGTCAACTTCCCTCTAAAGGTAGGATAAAGTTGAGATATATGAGAAGTATAAAATTAAAACATATATTAGACTTGGCTGATCTAATCTATTAAACAATCAAGCAAGAAATGTCTGCGTACATTAAAACTTGATAGGAAATGGTACATCTGCATGACAAAACTTTCCCGCTCTCGGTTTTAACATTATCCAATAATATTTAGATCAACATGCCTGGTGTGCAAGCAGAATCAATATGCACATGTATGAAGAGAAACTATAAAAAAATAAACAAGAAGTAGGCTATTTGAAGTTGTTATAGATGCCGTTCCATAAATTCAGATAGCTATATTAATTATAGTCTCTGGTTTGCACGTGCAATGTATCTGAAACTTATTCGCTGTAGTATGTGATTAAACAA